AAACCTGAATAAACCAAACCTGAATAAACCAAACCTGAAAGGGTCTTTCAGAGTTTTCCCAGCAGAACCACTTGGCAAAGGACAAAGCTGCTGTCCTGAGGCTGCAGCCCCTGTGCTGTCCCCGTGCTGGATCAGGGTGAACAAACACCAGCAGGTTCCAACTGCCACATTTCTGCACTCACAGCTCAGGGCACACATCCAAAGTTCTCTTTGTGTCTACAAACCCACTGTAAAAAAAAATAATTAAAGCATCGAAACCTGATTTCCCCCCCCCCCCTTTTAGTTCCTTTTAAGAAATGTTAGAACTGAAAATCGGACGCCTCTTGAAAAACTCCCCCTGGATTATTTTTGCAGGACAGGTGACACTGTAGATTTCATTTCGTTTTCTCAAGACGTGACATTTTTGTTGGCTGGTGGAAGGGGAAGGTGTCTCCTGCTTTTCTAAAATCTCCTCATGCATGAGCAGGGCACAGCCCCTGCCCTGCCCAGCACAGAGCTCTGGAAATGCTGTGAGGGCAGAAAAGGCTCTTCACAAAAAAAAAAAAAAAAAAAAAAAAAAAAAAAAAAAAAAAAGCAATCTCTGGGGTGAGGGCAGAGGTTTGGCCCCTTTGCTGTAAGATTCTGTGGGATTTATGTCCAAAGCAGCTGTGCCCTGTTCCTGTGTTCAGGATTTCAGTGGCAATGTCCAGGAAAAAGCTGCTTGGTGCTTGGGCTCCTTCCCTTTCCCTCATTTTCCACTTTCCCCCCACAGCTGGGAGATGTCCTGGGTGTCCCAGGTTTGGGGACAGCACACATCTGGGGGCAGCTGTGCTGATGTTCCAGTGGGAGGGAGCTGTCCCCAAAGGACAGGGACAGGAAAGGGGAACAGGACAATGACCCCACTCGTGAGCAGGGACAGTCCCTCACACAGCTCCTGGGAGCTCTGCTCCACTCTCCCCACTCAGAGGCCACAGGAGTTGTCCCTTTCCTCCCTGGCAGAGGCAGAGTGGCATTTTTGGGCTATTTCCCAATGGTCACACCAGCACCTCCTCCACTCCTGGCTGCCTCACCCCTCTCCCAGGTACCTTAAGGCAATGAAAAACTGCAGTGGGGTCAGTTCAGATGGATGCTGGAACCCCCTGAGCTTGGTGGAAATTCAGGGAAATTATCTGAGTTCATGAATATAATTTAAACTAGGTCAGTAAAACGGCACTGAACTCAGGGCAGAAGCTCCAGTTCAAAATCATAATCAAGTAATTTAATCTGAAATCACTTCCAATTAAATAACAGTAAATCCAAAGAATTCCAGTTGGATTCTTTGATCCTAATTGAGTCTCCAATTCCAATGGAATCCAAAGGGATTTAAGTGGCTCGTTTTGAATTCCCACTTCTGAGACACTGCCAGAGGAAGGCTGGAAAACACAATGGGAGCATTACACAAAATGTTCTCAAAGAAAGGGACACAGAAAAATGCAAAATCCCAGAATGGGTCAGGCTGGAAATGAGCACTGATAATCACCTGTCAGGATGAGCTGGATCCAGCAGGGGACAATGACCATCCTGGGACTCCACTGGGCTGAATTTAATGCAACCAAAGCTGGGTATAAAGATTTTGTGTTCCCACAGCTGCCTCACCTCCAGGTTAACCCCAGACACAACAAATCTCTATAAGAAATGTATATTTTTGATGCAAACACATCCCTGGGAGCACAAAGGCACCTGGGAGGACACGTCCTCATTGCTGGGTACCTGTGCCCAGGTGCCATGAGCACTCAGGACCCATCCTTTTGGCTGGAGGCTCACCAGGGAGATTTTAGGGTGATTCTCAGGGATCGAGACCTCCCATTTCAAATCTCTGACATTTCACACTTCCAGTTCAGCCGTGAGCTTGTAAAGTCATCGAAGAAAGTGAAAATCAGCACCAAAATGAGCAGGAATAGGTGCAATTTCCCTCAGCCTCGGCAATGCCCCTGCTCTCAATTAACTCAACTCTTGAGCAACTTTTTGTCTCTGACCATTCCTAAATCGGTTCCTTACAACATCAAAACTGATTTTCTTTCAACTTATCTGATAGAGTTAAAAGAAAACACCCTGGCAATGCCACTGCATCACAAGGGAGGCTTTGATCATGTGGGGCTGCCAACACACCTTGAAGTGTGTAAAACACATCTGACTTGGCTGATTGCATCTGCCTCTTCCCATTAAGTGTCCCTGCGAGGAGCCACCCTCGGGGAAGGGGCACCAAGGGGATAAATGACCTGGCCTTGGCTTCCTGGGCACTCCTGGAGGTTTTTCCTAGGAGGAACTTTAGGACTTTGTGACCCAGCTCAGGTAAAAATGCATTTCTGCATTTTGGAAAGAACACAGGAAGCTCCCAACATTAAAAATCCTCTTTGGGTGCTCATGTAAACTCCAGGGTAGCAGGTCCATGAGGGGGATCCAGAATTCCACTGCAGTGCTGGGGATTCATCCCTCCCATGCCCTGCAAAGGCTCTCCCAGCTAAAACCAGCTCTAACCCAGGCAGAGCACAGATCTGAAAGACTCAGATTAGGGGAGCAGATATGAGTGAGAGACACACTGCTGATGAAATGCTGACACTTCAACTCAATCCCTGTGTCTCAGGAACCAACTTCTGATTAAAAAAGAAAAGTAACCCATGTGCATCAGTGTTTTATTTCCTGCTAATGGTTCAAGCCTTCTCCCAGTTCTCCTCTGCAGCACAAACACCAAGGCCACCCCATCCCCTGCCCTCTGGGAATGGGATTCTGCCTTTGTAGGTTATCAGGGCTGGGGGAGGAAACACGGGAGAAGAAGGCTGGGGTGTCGTGCAGAGGATTCTCATTAATTTTGGAAGGAGTTATAAAAAGTGAGCTTGAAAGTCTGTCCTAAAGAGGAGGATTCAGCTGATTGAGAACTCATCTGCTTCTATCTCTTGGCTAATCGTGAATGCTGCTTCTGCTGTGTCACTTCAAAGGCCCAGCACAGCTGGGAGGGTTTTCATCAAAGCTCCTGCATGTCTGGGGGAGGTTTTCCCCCCCATGAATATACATCACTGGAGGCTCCTTTTCCCAGCTTTTCCCATGCCTCTCTCTGATTGATCCTCATTTCATTCAGATGAGCTCTTCCTCTCTGGATGGCTAAAGGGCAAGAGACAGCTCTCTCCAGAGCTTTCCCACTCTCCTGGATGCCTCTCCGAAAGATTTTCCTCTCATCAGAGTGGGGGAGGGAGGGAGCTGTTCAGACAAGAGATTGAGCCTTTAAATTAAATTCTTGTCATCTGAGGGCTGGGCCTGATAGCAGCGGGGGTGGGAAGAGCATTCTCCCAGTATCAGGATTCTGGCCAGAGCCTGCTGTGGTGTAAATGTTCCATGGACTGATCTCAGCACTCCTGTCATCAAAACTCTGAGCTCTCAGAGGTGCCAGGCAGCAGCTTGGTGGTGACAGCAGCCTCATGCCCTGTGTGGCTGCCCTGGGGACCACGTGGGGCTGGAATTGCTCAATCCTCTTTTTTTTTTTCAGTGGGGATGGAGGGCCGGGCAGCTGGGAGGAATTTCAAGCACTCAGCCACCCTCAGCCAGGCTGGGATTTCACAAGAGCCCAGACCCTGGGTGCTCCCAGCACGTGCAGAGGGGTGGAAATCTGGGCCCCTCCGGATCTGGGATGGGAGCTCACCCCTCCTGGAAATTCTGGGCCTGGTGCCACTTGGTTACAGCACGTCTGGCTGCTGGCTGGGGGCCAGGCAGAGCAGCCTCGGCTGGGCTCAGCTCAGCTCAGCTCGGCTCAGCTCAGCTCTCTGCCCTCCACCCTGCAATTGCTGTTCCCCAGGGCCACAGTGACCCCAGCACTGGCAGGTCAGGACACTGCACGTGTGTTCTACAGCCTGGCAAGGCTGGTCCTCGGTGATGGGAATGTGATGTTCCTTTTTAAAATTACTCTAGATCTCTGTGCAGTGCCTTATGACACTCAGAAAAGTGAGATGATGTGAGATTGTCAGAGATTATCCATGGCTGGCTGTCCAGTGAGATCTTTCCTCATTCCAGAGGAACCCTCAGCAGTTTCACACTTGTGTCCCTACAGTTTCCTCTCAGCTCAGAGTCCCTTAAACCCCATCCTGGACCTTAACCAGGAAGGTCAAACCAGGTCCCCAAGGATATGTCACCCTCATGGGGACCCTTCCAGCACCATAACCTCTCCTGGCACCTGTAAATCCTGTCTTGTTCCCTCCACTGCAAGCTCCTCTGCAGGGGCATTCAAGGCTGGGTCAGTTGTGGTGATGTTTTATGGGATCAGGACCTTCCTCCCCCCCAGCCAGAGATGGGATTTTCCCTCTCCAGTCCCAGAATAGTTAATAGGATTGTGAATGGTTTATCACTTCTTTCACTGGGGTGTGTGGCTGGATTCACTTTGACACAAGCCCCTTTCTGAATTGCAAGTTGGCAACAATAAAAGGGAGAAGTCTTTAATTAGTTATCTGGCTAATTAAGTTCTACAGCACTGCATAGCTTTGGCATCCAAATATTGCAATGCAAAACATTGCAAACATTCAAAGACTTCCCACCCCACCAGGAAGCTGCTGCCACTGGTGGTTGTGGGGGAAAAGCATCTCCCAGGCTTGGCCTGGAAATCCTCCCTGGGCTCCCTGCACATCCTCCTCTGCAGGTAACTCACCTGCTCCTGCTGGTGTGCAAGTTGGAGACACACAACATTCCCCAGGTTATTATGGAATCATGGAATCATTAAGGATGGAAAAGGTCTTTTAAGGTTGTCATTGACCCCCCACTGCCACCATGTTCCCCACTCCACCATGTCCCCAAGTGCCACATCCACACCATTTCTGAACACTTCCAGGGATGGTGACTCCACCTCTTCCCTGGGAGCCTGTTCCAATGCTTTACATCCCTTTCAGTGCAGAAGTCTTCATTAATATCCAATCTAAAACTCCTCTGTGCAACTTGAAGCCGTTTCCTCTTGTCCTGTCACTTATTCCCTGGGAGAAGAGACTGGAACCACCTCACTGTCCCCTCCTGTCAGGGAGTTGTGGGGAGTGAGAAGGTCCCCCCGAGCCTCCTCTTCTCCAGGCTGAGCTCTCCCAGCTCCCTCAGCCTCTCCTGGTGCTCTGTTCCCTTCTCTGGACACTCCAGCTCCGTGCCTCCTTCCCTGTGTGTGCACTCACTCTGGCAAAATCCATGCAAGACAAAATTTATCTCCTTCTAGTGAGGACTGTGCAGAGATCCCTGCCACGCAGGGCAGGGATTCACAGTCCAGCATTCCAGCACCCCCTGTCCTGAGCCACGACAGAAACCCCAGGGAGCAGAGTGACATCAGATGCCCCGGGCAGGAGATGCTCCCAAAGCTCAGGATGCTGTGGGATGACCCCAGGATCACGCTGTGGCTCAGGGAGTACCAGAGGCTGTTTTAAGCCTCTCTCTGTTGGAACTTGCAGGGTCCCCAGCAGTTTTCCCACGCTGCTGGGGGGGAGTGGGGGTTTCGGGAGGCTCGGTGCCCCCGGGCAGTTCCCGTGGGGCTGGATCTGCTCCCTGTGGCCAAGCACGTGTTCCCCTGGCTGTGCTCCACAGTTTCGCCGGGGCTGCGTGTCCAGGCAGGCTCCCCGGCTGCTGCAGCCCCCGGGAAAGGGGAGGGGAGGGAAGGG